TGCCTGGTGTCCATTCGGGGTCGGCGGCTTTGGCGACAACCATTAAATATTTGAATAGAAAAATATATTGCCAGATTCTAAATATAATATTACATCGGAAAATAGCATCATTTCCAATTTCTAAAGCCATTTATATATCAATAAATCTCATATATATATATATATATTTAGAAAATCGGAAATTATATCCGGACCGGTTGAATTCGGACATAGCTTGCTGTGTTTTCGCACGAGTCCTTTTTCTTGAGTGTGAGATTCTATGTTCCTAATAATAAATGATATCTTTTTTCAAGCGGGATCAACCTGCTCCAATTTCTGAGACGCTACCGACCTCAAAGAATATTTAGATGATAACGTCCATAACCTTCTCCGATAAAATTCTGAAACCACACCCGCTAAACCCCATAACTCCATCTAAATAGTTATAAAATTTCAATTCTTTATAAATTTAAATCAATTATACAAAAAATTCATTTCTTAATTCATTTCTCAAATCTTATTTTTCATTATATTTCGATAAAATATTAATATCAAATAATAAATGAATAAATAAAATCATTCAATAAATATTAACACATATTCAGAATACATTATTAATATCATATATATATATCATATATTTGAATAGAAAAATATATTGCCAGATTCTACATAAAGTATTACATCGGAAAATAGCATCATTTCCAATTTCTAAAGCAATTTATATATCAGTAGATCTCATATATATATATATAGATATATATATTTAGAAAGTCGGAAATTACATCCGGACCGATTGAATTCGGACATATCTTGCTGTGTTTTCGCACGAGTCTTTTTCTTGACTGTGAGATTCTATGTCCCTAATGATAGGTGATATCTTTTTTCAAGCGGGATCAACCTGCTCCATTTTCTGAGACGCTTCCGACCTCAAAGAACATTTAGATGATAACGTCCGTAACCTTCTCCTATAAAATTCTGAAGCCACACCCGCTAAACCCCATTCCCGAAACCCAGAGACTTGAAACCAAAGCTGTCAAGAAATGCAAAAGACCTCAGTTCGCTTTGGGGTTAACTTCTTACTCAAGCTTTCACGTTTCATGTCTTTCAGGCTTTAAGGTTTAGGAAATCTTCAGGAGCAGGCAGCCAAGTGGAACAGTAGGTCGAAGACCCCACATATTGTAGGGGCCTAAAGAATTACCCATACTATTTTGGGGGCTCCTTTTCTTATTGTATAATGGGCCCGAAAACCCTATTCTAGCCATTAAGGCCCCTATATTACCTTCATCCCCCAAACCCTAAACCCTAAACCCCCCAACCTTGGAGCTCTCTGACAGAACTCAAAGCTCTTGAGATTCGTTCCGAGAGCTGCGCGGCTTGGAGGTACCTGTGTTTGGCGGTCCAGCCTTCAACAAGGCGGTTCAAGGTTTAGGGACGGTTTAAGGTTTAGGGTTTAAGGTTTCGGGATTGATTATAAATCTCATATGGCTTATTGTATGGGGGCTTAGGGGTTTTAGGATTTGAAATTTAAGGCTCAGGGGTTTAAGGCCGTGGGTTTAGGGCTCTTTCGGCTTAGGGCTTTAGGGTTTTAGGGTTCCGGGAAAGCAAGACCCTGCACTCTAGCTTTCTATAAAGGAGAGTAACATGAGGATCCCAAAACTAGCTTTGTTGAGATCCGCCTTGTCAGCGGATCGTTCCTTATGCACTTCCCCAACGCCCTGGGCACCCGGGAAGAACCTCGGTGATTGCCACCGTTGTCCAACATGCGGCCACACAGCTGGGTTTCACAGACCAAACCCCCAAAAGGATCTAAAGAATAGATCCCCTAAGGGGGTTCCTATAAAGTACCCTTCAGTAGTTAGGGTCCCTAATTAGGGGATCTATTTCTTAGGTCCTTTTGGGGGTCTGGGTTTCACAGGACCATACAGCAGCCCGTTACATCTTCACGTGCCTCTGCAAGGCTCGCAAGGGTTTTCCAAGGAGCTATGCTTTTCCTCAGCTTTCTCAAGCCCGGCAATGAGGACATCAATAGAAGCAGTATCATAGGTCGAGCCAAACCGTGCGAGAGAGAGAGAGAGAGAGTATGTGGGGGTTTCCGAAAATAGGGACCTTAATATAGTACCCTAAATAGTAGGTTCCTTATTATAAGGACCCCAAAATAAGGTACCCCTTGTTTTCGGAAACTCCCGTGTGTATGTGTGTGTGTGTGTGTGAGTTCATGCACGGGGAATCAGAGCTCAAAACACCAGGAACTCCGACCCAAAAGGTGTAAGCGGCCGTCGACCCCAAACCCCAAACCGGGTAGGGTTTAGGGTTTAGGGTTTAGGGTTTAGGGTTTAGGGTTTAGGGTGTAGGGTTTAGGGTTTAGGGTTTAGGGGTTTAGCGGTTTAGGGTCAAGAAGCAACTTGACCTTTCTGCGCCTTTTTTCTCCAAATTCTAAACCTTTCACCCCATCCTTGGCTGGGAAACCCTAACTGCACCAACTCCTTGAATCCCCGTTTACAAAAGCCGTCGACAGAACCCTGAACCCTCAACCCCAAAACCTCATGAACCCTCATAAGACCCATCTATAAACCCGGTACGCCCTACTACAAACCCTCATAAGACCCATCTAGAACTCTAAACCCCGAGCTCTAAACCCTAGAATCCTAAACCCTTCTAGCCCAAACCCTCAACCCCAGAACCCTAAATCCTGTACCCCTAACCCCCAACCCTGGAACCTTCATGCCCAGAGAGGCCAATACCCCTTAAGTAAGGAATGTACCCTTGAAACATAATAATTAAGGCCCCTATAAGTTAGCCCTAAACTACCCTACACCCCTGACCCCTAAACCCCTAAACCCTAAACCCTAAACCCTAAATCCCTAAACCCCAAACCAAATGAGTTGAGGCAAATTCCTTAATTCAGGGGGTCTTGGGCTTTCTGGGTGGAGCAGCGGTTGGCCTTCGGCGCCCTGACGGCTGGGAGGCCGCGGCCGGATCCCTGAGGCCTTCACAGGGAAGGTTTAGGGGTTTAGGGTTTAGGGCATTAGGGGTTTAGGGGTTTAGGGTTCAGGGCATGGGGTTTAGGGTTTAGGGGTTTAGGGCATTAGGGGTTTAGGGTATGGGGTTTTGGGCTTAAAGTGTTCTGGACTCGTCCTGCCTGTACTGGACCACACTATGTGAGACGTCTGAAACATCATAACCACGTCGACACCTTTCATGGTGTAAGTGTGCGGGAAAAAAGAGGCTAGCAGCTTGGTGCTTTAGACTTGAGTGGGTGCTTGTATTATATATATATATATGTATATATACATAGAGAGAGAGAGAGAGAGAGAGGTAGATGTATACGGGTTGATAGGGCTTTACAAGGGTGCGAAGCGGTTAGGGGTTCGTGATCAAAGTTAAGGCCGTACGAGTATGACCTACATAAACCCAAAGCCGCACGATATCCCCCAAGCCCTGGGTCGTAACTGAAAGGCAAAAGCCCTGAGACAAACAAAGGCAACGCCTGGCCCCACGAGAGTGTGCTCCGCGTGCCGACTGCGGCGGCAGCATAGGATTCCCTCGCGCCCTGGACAGGCCACGCCTCAAGTATGGTTTAGGGTGCAACCCTAAACCCCAAACCCTGAACCCTAAACCCTGAACCCTAAACATTAAACCCCAGGTCAGGTTCCGGTTCTGGGGTTGTATGTTTAGGGTTTGGGCCGGTTTCGTGTTTCGGGTTTGGGGTTTTGGGGTTTCCGGTAGGGTAGGTTTCGGCTCCGGTGGGTGTTAGGGTGGGTTTCGGCTTTGGGTTTTGGGTTGGGGCTCTGGGCTTTGGGTTGGGGTCGATTTCGGATTTCTACGATGGCTTTGCGGAGATGTTGAAGGTCCTGGTCTACTTCAACATCTTTCACAGTTTCGAAGAGATGATAAGCAAAGGGTGTCGCTTGTGTGACCTTGCAAAACCCCATCAACAGCGACGCTTGCGCAGCTGGCTCGCCTAGGCCCAGGCCTGAGAATCCTCAGGTCGTGAGTGCGATCCTCACCCGTCTAGGGTTTAGGGTTTAGGGGTTTAGGGTTACGTATGTTGCTCTTCCCTGAAGTGGACTGATGTGGCACTGCTGATGGACTCACTAATACTCCCAACCCAGCACAATGCAAGCCGAAACCCCAAAACCCTAAACCCCAAAACCCTAAAACTCTGAACCCTAAGCCCTAAACTCTGCTACCTAAAGCTCTGCAGCCTAAGCAATAGCCCTAACTCCACTACCGCAAAACAAACCCCACAGGCCCTAAAGGGCTGGAAGATTCAGACTGATTCTCGTACTTTTGCGTCTAACCCACCAAAACAAAAACTCGCAGCAGCGTGTGGCCTTAATACTTCGAACCGGGTTTTGGGTTATATCAGAGCTTAAATATATAATAAGGCGCTCTGAGGATTATTTAGGGTTTAGGGTTTAGGGCATTGGACAAATTCCGGCTTCAATCCTATCCCAACACCCTGAAACGACCCCCGAAAACAGATTCCATGTGAGCTGTCCCAAGGCCGCTGCAACCAGTAAGCACTTCCTGACAAGGCAACTGCGGCAAACGAAAGGAAACCCTTTGCTTGCATCCAGGTCGGACATGCTATCTAAACAAAAACCCTGAACCAAAAGCTTGAAAGCTGCGAGGGCGCAACTCGGAAGTGCCGCTTTGCATGTGACCCACTCCAAAGTCAAACGCCAGAATCGCGGAATTGTAAACTACAAAGCGCACGTAGCAAACCAAAAATTATAACATGGAAACCAGAATCCCGAACTGATGCTGACTTATTGGTTGGAAAGAAGTACAGCTATATCCTAAACCCACAACCCCTACACCCTAAACCTATCAGGATCTGGAACCTTCAACTACACGAAACCTAGCAGGGAGAACCTCAACCAACAGTCTGAAACTGCAAAAGGGTTACTTCCCCATAGCTCCAGCCAAACAAGCCAGCAACAACAAACTCTCAGATGTTACCAGCCCAAACGTTGTGCAAAAATCTGGCGTTTCAAACTAGGAAGCCAATTGCACAGACAGAGGGCTCAGGGGCGGAATTAGCGAACCGCAGGGCGAGCATCATCTGGAACTCGTGTTGAACTCACTCTCCCTTCTGCAGCCGTTCGAAGCCAAAGCAGGACTAGCAGTTCCACCCAGTCATTGGACGGATTCAGCGAACCGCAGGGCGAGCATCACCAGCATCATCTGGAACCCGTGTTAAACTCACTCCCCCATCTCCAGCCCTTCGAAGCCAAAGAATAAGTAGCAGTTCGACCCAGTCATTAGACGGATACAGCGAACCGCAGGGCGAGCATCACCAGCATCATCTGGAACTCGTGTCAAACTCACTCTCCCATCTCCAGCCCTTCGAAGCCAAAGAATAAGTAGCAGTTCGACCCAGTCATTAGACGGATACAGCGAACCGCAGGGCGAGCCTCACCAGCATCATCTGGAACACCTGTTGAACTCACTCTCCCATCTGCAGTCGTTCGAAGCCAAAGCAGGACTAGCTGTTCGACCCAGTCATTGGACGGATTCAGCGAACCGCATGGCGAGCATCACCAGCATCATCTGGGGAACTCGTGTTGAGCTCACTCTCCCATCTGCAGCCGTTCGAAGCCAAAGCGGGACTAGCAGTTCGACCCAGTCATTCAGCCAGCCACAGGGCGATCATCACCAGCATCATCTGGATCTGGTGTTTTAAACTCACTCTCCGATCTGCAGTCGTCGAAGCCCAAGCAGGACTAGCAGTTCGACCCAGTCATTGGACGGATTCAGCGAACCGAAGGGCGAGTATCACCAGCATCATGTGGAAGTCGTGTTAAATTCATTCTCCCCATCTGCAGCCCGTTCGAAGCCAAAGCAGGACTGGCAGTTCGACCCTGTCATTGGACGGATTCAGCGAGCTGCAGAACATCATCTGGAAGTCATGTTAAGCTCACTCTCCCATCTGCAGCGGTTCGAAGCCAAAGCAGGACTAGCAGTTCGACCCAGTCATTGGACGGATTCACCGAACCGCATGGCGAGCATCACCAGCATCATCTGGAACTCGTGTTGAGCTCACTCTCCCATCTGCAGTCGTTCGACCCAGTCATTGGACGGATTCAGCGAACCGCAGGCGGAGCATCACCAGCATCATCTGGAACTCGTGTTAAACTCATTCTCCATTTGCGGCCGGTTCGAAGCGAAAGCAGGACTGGCAGTTCGACCCAGTCATTGGACGGACTCAGCGAACCGCAGGGCGAGCATCACCAGCATCATCTGGAAGTCGTGTTGAACTCACTCTCCCATCTGCATCCGTTCGGAGCCAAAGCAGGACTAGCAGTTCCACCCAGTCATTAGACGGATTCACTGAACCGCAGGGCGAGCATCACCAGCATCAGCTGGATCTCGTGCAGTCCGCTTTCAGCCGTTCGAAAACACAGCAAGGTGGGCAAGTCGAACAAATGACCGGGCGGTTGGGGCTAACAGCCCGAAACTCTCAACCTTCACTCCCGCCCCTCCCCTGCGTTCAACAGCAAAGTCAAAAACGCGCCCAGCCGACCGCCAGTGTGAAGCGCCACGGGCGGCGTCGTCTTTGCCGGCCCTGTGCTCTCGGGCGCCTTCTCCTTTCGGATCGTTGTTTCGAAGTCTTGGATGCTTTAACGTGATCTACTCGGGATACTATAAAGGTTTCTTTGCGCGTTCCTACCATAGGGCATCTATAAGGACATTTAGGGTTCAGGGTGTGCGGTTTCGGGCATAGACGACTATGAACATTTGCAGCGAGATTGAGTCAAGAAGATGCAGCAGCTGGCACCTGTGGTTTACCCGAGCCCCAAGCAAAATCCACTTCGACACTCAGGGGGCATAGTAAGCAGCTCAGAACCAGAATGACCCTCAATTGGGGTAACCTCCCGGCATCCCGCACTTAGCCCTACACCAATTTAAAACGAAAAAGTAGCATGTGGCAGGTTACGGGGCGTTGAATTTGCCAGTTCAACCTTACGGCCTTGAGACCATGCAAAACCCGAGACTGCTTCAACAGGAGAGTGATCTATTTTAGAACTCGAGGTCGGAAGAATCAGCGATAAATTCCCCTCGTAGTTCACTTTGTTAAAGTCATACAACTCTGTCGAGGCCTACGCTGTATCACACCTGTTATTGAACCCCAACAAAAAATGCTCAGGGTTGCAAATCCTAAACCCTCAACCCGAAACCCTAAACCCTCAACCCAAAGCCCTAAGTTGAAAATCCCAATGTCCGGCTCCGCGTCTTTCTTCCGGGGTTCTCCCCTGCGCTGCGGCTCCTGTGAATGGGTCATTTCCTTTTAGTGCTTTGGGTTTAGGGTTTAGGGTTTAAGGTTGTGTTCCTGTTTGAAGTTTGGGCTTAAGATTTGGGTTAAAGGTTCTTGTTCGTGAGTCGTATCGTTTTGGTTGCTTCAAGTGTGTATGTCTACCTGGTTTTTTGGTGCGAAAGCCTTTAAACGTAGAGGTTTAGGGCTCGGTGGTTTAAGGTTTATAGAAATTGTTAAGGGTTTGGGTGCTAAAAATTGGCCGAAACGTTTTGACCGAAAGTTTTGACAGAGTTTTGACCGAAAGTTTTTTTGGAACCATGTTTTGAATTTGGTGGGCGGGGGGTTGGCTGGGCTGGGCTGGGCTG